AGGATAGTTTCACTGCTACAAAGCTAACGGAGGATAGTTTCACTGCTACAAAGCTAACGGAGGATAGTTTCACTGCTACAAAGCTGACGGGAGGATAGTTTCACTGCTACAAAGCTAACGGATGATAGTTTCACTGCTACAAAGCTAACGGAGGATAGTTTCACTGCTACAAAGCTAACGGAGGATAGTTTAATTGCTACAAAGCTAACGGAGGATAGTTTCACTGCTACAAAGCTAATGGAGGATAGTTTCACTGCTACAAAGCTAACGGAGGATAGTTTCACTGCTACAAAGCTAATGGAGGATAGTTTCACTGTCTTTTACTCACGGAGTTTGGAGCGCGGCTCCCTGGGGCCGTCCACCGTCACCTTGATGGCCTTGTTGTAGAAGGCGACCACGGGCGGCTTGGTGCCCAGACTGATGGTCAGAAGGAAGCTCTTGCCTGCATGGGCACGAAATTACACATACCGTACATGAGTAAAATAAATTACTATTTAAAGTTTAATTTGATTATTTCAAGTAATAATTCAGGTATTATTTACCTTTAATAATAAATAAATAGTAATGTTTTACCAATGAATTGATGTAATATACCAATTAATTAATGTAAAAATATTCGCAATTGCAGACCATTTCTTACAGTCAAAAGAAAAATTGCGAAAACTTTCGTTTACCTGAAACTCCCATTTAACTGCCGTTCAGAAATTCGACTGAACTTTCAGTTTTCTATTTTTATTGTAAAATTATTTCTGTTACCAAAGTATGAATCTCTTTCCCAATTTCTCACACCGACTCCTCCACCTCTTACATACAATGAGTTCTAAGGTTCCGCAGTTAACAATAAAATTTGATTTCTATACGCACCAGCCCAGGCAGCCCATATATGGCATCTTCAATGTAAAGCTACAAACAATTAACAATTATTTTGGTAATGTTGATAACGATCGTGAGAAATGGTATGATGCTTTGTAACTTTATAGAATACTTTACGTTTGAATGAACGTTGTAGTAATTGTTTACCTGACCTATGACGAATTTATTTATTCACTTAACAAGGAACAATGAATTTATACACCAAATCGCAGATGAGCAACAAATTGTCTTTAAACAAATAAGGAAAAATAGAATCTCGTGTTTCCCCATGTGAGTGCGAAGAAAATTCAGAGTTTATTATGGTGCTAATGTTGCAATCATTAATTTAGATCGTCAATAAATTTTGTGGTACTATAATTATGTTGCACAACTCGTATGAAAAAAAAAATAATTACGCGGAGTTTGTTTTCCACTGTATAAATCCAGACGGGAATGTAACATAATGCCTGAAAAAAAAATAATAAAATTGCTCATGCTCTCCATTTCGAGGAACAATATTCTCCCGATTTTATTGAAAATCAAATGAATTCACGAAATATGTAGAAAAAGTTAAGTTTTTATTTATATTTAATAGTCACATGTAAAAAAATGTTTAGTAATGATTTTAATGTTTCTTAGTTTAATATGCCCGATGCAATTTGAGAACATTCAAATTTTCACGACATAAGGAAAAAATTTTCATACTGACTTGATATACGTCGAATTCAGTCAAGATTCAATAAGTTAAATTTTCTTGCAAGTAACAGAATACCCTCTTTAATGTGAAAATAACAGGAAACCACAAACGGGGCAGAAAAATTCAGCTTCAATGACAAATTTTTTTGCATTCTGGGAAATTTTTCAACAGTTGTCTTTATCTCACCTCGGCCTGACCGCCCTACAAATCTAAGGTCGCTGAATTTAGCGACGTGTTCCTTCATAATTGAGACGTTGTTCTTCAGTTCAGCGCTGCTGTTCTCATCGTTCCCGGCGCGAACAGTCACAACTGTTCCGTCGGGTACGTCGAACAAAGCCTTCACCCTGGACAAAAAACGTAGAGATTTATTTAATGAATTGGAAATTAAATACACCGAGAAAATGCATCATTGTATAATCCAAAAGTCTCTTATTAGTGTCATGGTGATCTTTTAGTGGAGATTTTACATATATGTTGACTGCTGGAGATTTATGGGCATGTTTACAGCCAGTTCATGAAGTACCAAACTTGAAGAGTGAAATATATTATTTTAAGATGGAGAAGGTATATTAAGATGAACCGCGAAAGCTAATTTCTGAAAAATTAAATGAAAACCCAAAAAATATTGTTTCCATAAACCTGGTAGTAATTCAAAATGACGCTTATTTTCTCGCCGAAGAAATCATCATGGACACGCTCTGTGAATCGAGCTCTACTCCACCTCGCCACGATCGCCAGCGCGCAGCAATATTGCAAAACAAAGAAATATAGGTATCCTTGAGTAATATAACGAATTATATGGCACAAATTATAAAGATAGTATATCGCCTGATGTATTTGTTATTACATATAAAACAACATATAAATATAGCATATATATTGATTATTATATTATTGATAACATAGATATTTGACTTCTCATCTCAAAGAAAGTTATGCACTGACATGAAGGTAGTCGGCAGAGACTTGTTGGAGCGCCAGTGCAGCGGCAGGTTGCTGCACAGGATGCCAGGAGCCTCCGTGAGCCTGAGCTTGCCTCCCTCAGTGACGTCCCACAGCCACAACTCTGCACCGGAGCTGCCAGCACGCGCTCCCCTGCAGCACCCGTCGCCGTGCAGCATGGCTGCCACAGCCCTCTGAACACAAGCATTATAATGACCTGCAGCACCCGTCACCGTGCAGCATGGCTGCCACAGCCCTCTGAACACAAGCATTATAATAACCTGCAGCACCCGTCACCGTGCAGCATGGCTGCCACAACCCTCTGGACACAAGCATTAATTAATTAATAAGTGTGTGTGACCCCGCCGGCCGATGGCCGGGGCCGTCACCTTATACGTCTGCGGGATGGCAGCAGACCGTACTGGCGTAACGGTCACCACAGTAGAAAATCATTTTGGCGCTAATTTTAGGGTCCTTTTACGGACAGACGTCGCGCCCATATAATTAAGCTTACCAAGTAACGCCGCGACAGTTTCGAGTTGCACAAGGGTCAACCCTTTCAATACCCTCTGCCATTCCGAACTAAAAATAAACTCGCTTTCACGGTTTTTTACGCACGTTCAAGTTACATCCTGCCTGTAATTGCTTAACATCGCTTGGGCCTTCTTCATAATTTTACCAAAGCAATGTTTAATAATAAAATATAAACAAAAGTCAGAATTACCTACACTTTCTTCAACCTGCCCCGCCCGTCACCGTGCAGTATGGCTGCCACAGCCCACCGCCCTCTGAACACATCATTAAATAATTAATAGCCTGGCCGGTGGGCAGGAGTGATTGGTTTGAATATCAGACTGAATCAGACTGAAGCTATGCAAACTCAATACATAATAGAATACCAACGACTTTATAATTGTGAGTGAAAAAGTTTAACAAATACAAGCTGGGACAAAAATTTCAGTTTTAGTGTTTAGTGTTAAATTGCAACATTTGGCATTGGTTCAAAAAATCAAATGTTAACTGAATATCATATATATAATTGAATTTTTTCTGAAATAAACAAGTATATATTCTTTTCGAAATCAAAATGGGAATTGAATCAGGGGGTTGAAAAGGTCTTCAATTAATTCTCATTAATTCGGTTTGAAACTATTACGATTGCAGAGAAGATGATTTGAAACGAGAACGGCATTCTCAAATCTCAGAGATTTAATTATCAATTCCTGGTAGACTTTCAACCAAACATTGTTATCTAGTTGAATATATTCGTAAAATTTCTGATGCAATCTTCAAGCGCACATCGCACTCATTGACAAGTCAACATTTATTCATCGTAATAATGGCAAGTCAGGAATAAAAACGGTTGAAATTTGTTTCCATTTGGATGCTTGTTAAAAATGTAAGCTTATTTTTAGGAGAAATTTTCTATTACCTTCGTTATAATTAACCTCATAGTTAAATTTTTATATTGATGTACAAAAATTTGATTAGCGTATTTGTTCACATTTCCTCTAGAAATTTATTTAGTGGTAGACCTATCAATTTTTGACAACATTAAAGTAACATCAAACATAATTAGTGATTTGCAATTAGATTAAAAAAATTTGTAAAATGGAGACGATCAATTGATTCTATGAAATTTCTAAATCATCAAGAATTTTTTCGTAATATGTAGTGGTGACTAAAATGTTGGTTAGGAGCCTATATTTAATACATTACAAATCAAACTGGTTAATAATCTACTGTCCGGGAGAAATATTCAATGCAATAAACTGTACACACAAACACTGTACAGAATGCAACACTGGGCATCTAATGCACGGCTTTTCATCAATTAATAGCAGAATTCCTAAACTTAAAACGGATAAACCTGTTATAATAAATAAAATCTGGCACAGGCTTGAGCCATCAATTTCTTATTAATGAATAAATAAATTTATATAGACCTATAATAGCAAGAAAAATGGTATACGTTACCTGCCTCTGAAAAAAAAATTTTTCGGCTTTAAAAATGAAAGTTGAACATGAAAACGGCATTATCATCATGACTATATATATTCAGTTAAATATTCATAAATATTTAACTGAATATAAATATATAAATATTCATCCTTGACTATAAATAATCAGTATTTCAGTCTCAAAAATATTACAAAACTAATAATTAATATGATATTCGAACATTAAATGTATGACAAATTTCTTAGTTAATTTTCTATCATAGTAATCAGGGTAACTTGCCAATCTTTATAATGATGATAGCTTACCAGTATGTTAATGAGGATAACTTACCAGTATGTTAATGAGGATGCAAAGATACGAGGATGTTTAGACTTGAAAACTTCTGACATCAATCACAGTGTAAATAATATTTCTAGAAGGAAAATTCATGAACAATAATCTTGATCAAAATCACGGCACAGAATGTCACAAGATGATTGTTCGTAACTAAATTTAAAACCTACAGTTTATATACTTGTTTGACATCTTTTAGACTATTAAATATTTAGTAACAATGTTCACATTGACTGTTTAACAGAGATTTTCGTATCATTGCGCGTTACAGTCCAGACCAGAGGCCGCAACACGTGGTGACCTCCATGGAGTTCACGTGACCTCACATGCCCTCAAACAGAACCACACTGACCCTCACAACCAACCTCACAGGTGTGCCCTCACCTGTTGAGGGAAGACACGCCCAGCAACGGAACCCGACCTCCATACACAAAATTTACCTACTGTGGAATTTTTCGGTAATGCAATTTCATGGAATTTTTTATTTTGCATAGAAGTTTATCATTATAGGATAATTGAGAGAATTGTGAAAGTGATGAAAAGTTCTTTGTATAGAGAAAAAGTTTGACGCGATTTCGACCACGTTTGCCGCCCGCCTTCTTGGCTGCCATCTTCATTGCGACCGAGGTTTGACTCCGCCCTGACGTCCCTCAACTTATTGTACAAGTAAGGGTCATAAACTTATTGTACAAGTAAGGGTCATAAACTTATTGTACAAGTAAGGGTCATAAACTTATTGTACAAGAAAGGGTCATAAACTTATTGTACAAGTAAGGGTCATAAACTTATTGTACAAGTAATTGTCAAATACGGTACGGTAAAATAGTTAAACATGAATGTGAACTAAGATATTGGAAAGTTACCACAAACGTGCATGGTCGAAAAATCTATGGTACGGATTCAATGCTTACCGGTAATGGGGACTTGTGAGTATTTTCCCCATTACTCCGTATAGGTAATGTAATTCGGCAACCAGTGAGAGCTACATATATATATATATATTCATTATAACATAATATATAAATTATAGAGTCTATTGTATGATTGTGAAAATCTTTGATCCACAATTATTGTACCGTTCGAATTTTAATCCATTTATATTCAATTTATATCTGTTCGGTTTCTCGAGGTGGATAAATATTTTTTTCATGATAAGCGATTGGCGCTGCAAAGCTTCGATTATATATATAATATCGGCGTCTGGCTGATAATTGCAGATTGAAAGCGTTCACATGCATGAACATGACTAACAAAATTGGCTCGTATTAATATGAGAAGGATGGATCAGGTTTTGTCTCCCGCTTGACTTAATTGGGTATACCTACCCGACCTAGTCTAAGGTATACCTAGCCTTTTTCATAGACTTAACGTAAGTTGCATGGGTATTATTTTTACGTTCGTGAAGCATAAAAATTAAACGCAACAGAAGTTTTTAAGTTTACTGAAAAAATAGAGCACAGTCGAATTGCTTTGCCACTCCGCGGTTATTTGAGAAATTGAGACGTCAGTGAAATTATTTTTGTTCAATAAAAAAAATGATTTAATTTGTAAAATCCGACCACTTAAAGTACATACTAATTTTAAATTTATTCTACTCCTTCACGCACCGTTTTTAAGTGTATTTTAATATCGAAATTCAATGCTCGATCGATATTTACGTTCTTCGAGTTTAAACGTGCATGGCGAATTGGCGATAACAACAAAAATATGCCTTAATTGGCTGGTAAATCTGTCCTTCAACTCTCCCTGCGCCGTTTATCTGGAAGTATCATAGTACTTGTTTAGCTGCTTACCCAAATTGTGGGTAATTCACTGAAATAGGACGTTATATGTTAATGAGAATTACAAATACATCGAGACTTGGGTGACCTTTTGAGAAGAAAAGCTGGCTTCAGAAATGATTTCTCATTCCTTAAATTGCCTTTTCCTGACTCACTATTAGTTTCTTGAAAAATAATATGCCAACATTTCAGATTAGTATCTGATACTGAAAAATTAATGGCTACGATTTATGTTTTTCGTCAACTTTCTTAAAAATTAAAGACTGGATTCAAGTTTCGACTTCGAAGTTGAATTTAAACTCATTCCAGAGAAAACGGAAATTAAATGCACAAAATTTTGATTGTTGAAACCATTACTCGACAATCGACATCGCGTTATTCACTTTTTAATTGAAGCCGAACTGGTTTTGAAACCTAGTTTCGGGACAGCGGCTGAACACGGGTACAAAAAATAGTGGTAAAATGCCGAGAATATGTTTAGAAGACTAAACATTGGTTTTACTTTCTCACAGGCATAAATTTTGTGCAAAACAGTCCTATAATGCATTGCAAGATGTATTCGCTTGAATATTCCTTCATCAAGGAATGCAACACCGCACCATTTAATCTAGCAATCTAGCATGTGATCCTAAAGTCACTCTAGTCTACACCAACCAACCTCCTCGTAAGTTAGGTTGATTAGCTTTCGTTGGGTTAGGTGCTAAATAATGGCACGGGGAAGTTGCCGAACATTCACCCAAATTTAAAATTAAAAGCGTTAAACTACTCTCATCAGAAATAACTACAGGCTTATGATTGTTGACTTATCAACGTGGCTTCAGAATACTGATGGTGCTTCCAAAATTCAATTACCTAGTTTATATTTCTTTCAACGTTTAGGAAAATGGTCTTCGTGCCGCCAACATACCCAATTATCTCTGAATATGGATTCTTCACACGTAACCTCATTAGCAGTCCTAATAGTTCCTGGTCGAAAAATAGACATTATTTGTTCCTGAACTTACCATCAGTCAACAACCAAATAACGTGGCGGACCTAATAAATCACAGATCATAATGAAACGAGGTACTGACTAAAACCCAGACCCGGACCGGTCCGCCGGACCCGGACCAAGTGACTAAAACCCGGACCCGGACAAAGTGATTAAAACCCGGACCCGGACAAAGTGATTAAAACCCGGACCCGGACCGGTGGCGGACCAGGTTAAAAAAAATAAAAGGCTGCAAGTCATCTGAAACGTCGAGAAAACTTTTAATTTTCCATATAAAATTTTCATATTTACTTAGAAAAATTTCGTCGCACCAGCATTTGAGGGTCACAGAAAAGTTCATTTTTCGATCGAACTAATCGATAGAGAATGTTCATGAAACGATAACACCCGATCGACAGCGTGTTGACACACAACCTATAATACTCAACCGCATCATGGATACTTCACGATCTTCTAAAAGACTAACGTAAATAACTTCCAAGACAATTAAAGACTAGTATTAACTCGCTGATAGGAGAATACAAGGCACGTTCCTTGCATTTATTGGAGGATTTTAAAACAAGCCGCGCGCATCATCCTTCATTGATTAATTAATACATTCATTCATTCATTCAGCAACCAAAACGTTTTTCAAGCAGTAATTTATCCAACTTGGAAATTTCAATTTTTTCTATACGTAAAATCCCATTCATTGAACTTCAGATTTTTTAATGATCACAGATTTTTTTTATTTCACGTAGATTCTAATAATACAGTTGCAATGACCATCATCGAATTCATTACTTAATTAACACGTTGACTCCGATGTGGTACTTATTCGCACCACGAAATGTATTTCACCAGGACGTAGTGGTACATAATTCAAAATAGTATTTAAAATGAAATATTGTACAAGATGAAGCAATCGGAGTCGAAGTGTTAATCGTGAAAAGCTATCTTCAACCTACACAACATGAATGAAAGGCTTTCTTCTGCTTAATTTCAGTCGTTGATAAATCCACGGTTAAGATCGGAAAAGAATTACCAATTCACAAATAAATAAAAATATGAATTCGTCAATGAATTCCTGAATAATGAAACGTTCATTCAAAATGTCTCATACAAGAGAATTCGAATATATAAATTTCAGCCGCAAGGACTAAAGAAACAAACCCGAGGAGTTACTTGATTTACTAATTTCTAATAAATTTACAGTATTTACAAGTGTCACAAGATATCTCGATTATGAATAATCACTAAATATTGTAGATCCTAACCATTACATATGCTGTAAATGTCATAAGTCAGGTAACAGCCGTGAATATTATTGCTTAAAATATGTACAAATTTCATTTCAAAATATTTGTTTTCACTATTTTCAGAGTTCTTAGCAACTAAAAACATGAAACTATAGCAACGACTCAATTTCATTGACACCATTACTCAACATTTGTATTATTAACCGTGAGAATACTTCTCACGGGAGATTTCTTAGAAATTAAATTCAATAGCATAATACCGAAATTCTGTTTCAATCATGATTAATATGAATATTAAACTTTGCCCAAAGCGACTTTTGAAAGTCTTTACAATTTTAGCAAACAATTTCATAAGTAGTGGACAATATTCAATTCGTCAGTTAATATAGTTAAACAAATAACACTAGAATGCGGTGCATCGCATCTATATGACGAACTGCAAGCAAAAGCTTAACGTAAGAAAATCGATGTCGTAACCGTCGTAGACGCGACTCTCGTAATGCCCAGCGGTCGACTGGAAGTGGACGTGGTTACATTGCCGTGTAGATGAAAAAATATAACTCAGTTTACTCACTGAGTTATAACTCAGTGCCACTCAGTGTAGATGAAAAAAATATAACTCAGTACTCACTGCAGTGAGTGACAGAGTGCGCATTTTCTCGTCGACGAAAAACATGACGAGCACAATAGCGCCTTTTTTCCATAAATGAGAAAATTCGCTAAAAATGAACTGGGATCAAGATCCAGCTTTGCCGAAAGTGTGGATCTAAGCGAAAAAATCGAAATCGAAATGCATACATCCAAGAATAGAAATATTTCTAAGACAAGATGCTGTAATTATTCAAGATGGAATGGACGAAATTGATAGCTATGGAACCTAGAGGTGGAAGTGCAATAAAGGAAAAAACTAAATTGGTGACTTAAAATGTTAAAATTACAGAGATTTGCACAGCTATGACGATGAGAGGTTATGTACAGAATTATCATCATTGAGCAGCACTAGAAAATTTACACTCAGACTACATGCCGGTAGAATTCTTCCTCGTGCATCCAGGCATTCCACAATAGAATTAGAGAATCGAATCCAAATAACAGTTTTTGTGATGCAACTATAATTGTTCAATTAAGAATTTCCTATTTATATTATAATTATCAAACGTTGTATTAATTATCACCAAAAGTTCAGGAGAGCAGCAACATCTCAGGTGCACTTAACTGTACATTTACGAGCAAACGTCTTCGATAATGATATTAGTACACTCTTCATTTTACATTAAAAATCTTTTTTACATTAATATAACAAATTAACTACGGTAAAACTATACTTTGCCTTATGGATTAGAAATAGGTGTGAGCCACTTAACTGAGAATTATGATAGTGTTAGATTCATTTTTGTTGTACAGATGCCATATATATGTGAAATTAAAACAATTCTACGAAATTGGTGATATTTTCCGCTAAGCTTTTAAGTGTAGTATTTTAGCGAGTCATCTGTTCTTAATGATCATTTTTGTGGCATAAGTTTGTGAGAGAATATTGCATTAATTTAAACCAACTAACTAAGATTTATGAATTCTTGTCTTTAATTAAAACCAAAATTACTTTAAATAACTGTAAAGAAACTAACAAGTTCTCAATTTGTTAGAAAGAAAAATCCCTTAAGAACTTTCTAAAAAAATAATTATTTCATAAATGAAAAAGAAAATCCCTAAGTGGAGCAAATAATTTAGCGCTTATTTCAGCAGTGGCCTTCAGCATTCGCGAACATGGCAGGCAAAGTTTAAAATAATAATAAAAGAACGCAGGGAAAAAATTAGTGAATGAGCTTGAAGAAGAGAAACAAACAAAAAATATATAGGACTTCTAACTTCCCCCTAAGAAACCATCACCGTCGGAACCAAGTTGTAGTTGATATTTACAGAGAATGCGTAAGTTGTTTTTTTTTTCTACGAGACAATAGATATATGTATATGGTTACCGGAATAATTTTGCGCAAACGAAGTAAAATAAAATATTAAACTCTGAACACGAGAACATTTGCTATGAAAGAAGTCGGTTCAGTAATGACATTTTACGGCTCAGTAGAGAATTTAATAAACAAATAGAATCAATAAGTAAAAGTTAGCCGTCATTCTTGGAAGAGTAATTTGCAAAGATCAGAAAAAGTAACCCGCAGGAAGCGAACTAATTTTTAGAAGAATAATGATGGCGATGTGTTTACAAGCTCCTGATTGTGACGTAGGAAAATGTTCAAATATTCTACAAGGAACTAACCAAACACGAGGAATATCATTGCCCCACACTTGAGAGCGCCTCTACACTTAAAATAAACGAAAACGTTGGCATGCGTCTATCTTGGCACTTCGTGGACATTAAAAACGCCAAATTTTTACACAAAAACGCGTACTCAGTATCTTTTAACCCCAAAAAATATTTCAGCAAAACCTTAAAAATTTACGCCCATTTTAAAATAGCAGGCGCACTATGAACAGATTATAAACTTAAAGATCACAGACGAGTCACAAAGGACGACTTAAGTTACGTAAAATATACATTAGCTAACGACTTGTCAACTCAGAGTTCCTCTCAAGACAGGCTCATAAATGTTCCCAGCGAAAAATCTCTGAGACCAGGACCAGAAATATAATCTCTTCAAACATCATTCAAGTGTCGGATACTACACAGTGGTCTCGCTGCGTGGCGAGGAGGGCTGTAGACCACCATAGCCTCTTGTCAGATCATTATAATACTCGTGGGAGGCCTCACCGTTGGGTTGTTGGTGACTTCGCTGGTGGTTTGTCCCAGACCCGCTACCATGAGACGTCAAACTGTTCTGCAAGCTGCTAGGCCCATTAGAATTTATGTTAGGGTGGTTAGACCCCATCAAGAGACCATTTGAACCCATGGAATGGCCATTTGAACCTAAAATATTGCCGTGAGAGCCCATCATAGAACCGTTAAAGCCCACGTTGAAACCATTTGGTCCCATGCCAAGCCCGTTGGATCCTATATTGAAGCCATTGGATGCCATATTGTGACCATTGGAACCCAAATTGAGTATATTAGATCCTGCATTGTGCCCATTAGATCCCATACTGGGACCATTAGATCCCATACTTGGTCCACCGGACCCGGGACCGCTGGACCCCGTGCTGCTGTATGAAGGCAATCGACTATGTGGGTCAATGACGGGTACCCCGACAGTCTGCACCCCGGGGAACATAGGCCCCAAAATGTGACTATTGTTGCTCGTGGCCGGTAAACCGTTGTGGAAGCCAACGAAACTTCCTCCGTTTGTCGTGGCAGGGAAGCCGGGGAAGTTGGAGTCCGTGGGTGTCGAGGGATTTGAAGGATTTGATGGAACCCTAAAGGTGTTCATGTCCGAAGCCGTCCTTTGGAAGGCGCAAAAGTTATTGGGATCTGAAGTGGAGGTAGGGAAGTAGGTGTCCGTTGGTGTGTGAGGCTGTGAGGAGTGGGAAGACCTTTGCGACGGTCGTCTGCGAGAGGAATAATGTTGAGAAGGATGAGTGATAGGCGGATATTCACCGTAACTACGGTGCTGGACGCCGTTCCGTTGAGGCATGTTTGCTGCCTGTACTGCAGCAGCGACGTTACGCTTGTTCATGACGTGATACTCGGGATTGTCCATTGCAATCTGCTTTTTCGAGTGCCCGTTGTTCTTCAGGTGCTTGTAGTAGTCTGAAGCTGCTTGTGTACCAGCTGAAACGTAAACAAAATCTTTTACATTTCTGAATCAGTAGTCGCAGGCATATCCTTTAAACCATTGAAGTCATCAGGGTCTAGGCCAAGGTTCGCAACACATGACATATAAAGCATCAAATCCATATGAAGCCAGCGGCACATTTAACGTAACAAAAAGGAGAATATAGTCAAATGGGGTAAGACAGGATCGCAGCCTTCATGGGGTAAGAAAGGACCGGCCCATGGCATGCATTCTAATTGCACTGAATTTAATTTGACAAAAGAATATGTTAGAGCAATCATTGCCTGTCATTTCAGTGCTTGTTTCAACCCTCTTCTACAAATAATGAATTTCTGGCTAATTTTCAAAGAAAACCTATGTAAAGAAGGGTCACAAAATAGTTAACCCTGTTTGGGAAATATGCTCTGTCTAATGACAAAAAAAATTTTGGCCAGGTTTGTGGATTTAGGCTGGTAACCTCAAGTAATAAGCAACTTTTGAGACATACTAGGCATTCCCACCTGCTACCATCACTGCCTGACATGTATTTCAAAATGGGGTAAAAAAGGACCGGACATGGGGTAAGATGGGACCACTGAATGATCCTGTTTTACCCCACAAGTGGTCCTATCTACCCCATAAATGGTCCTGTATTACCCCACAAATGGTCTTCTTTTACCCCATAGTTTATCAAAAATAGCTTTTAAATGAATATATTATTGTGCATATGTATACATGGAGTATTTTGGTCAAAATTTTCATCTTTTGCGTAAAATAACCATTCTAAATTGTTAGCTTTTTTAATTAGATAAATTTAGTATACTATTGTGAATTGCATCATGGGGATGGAGAAAATAGGGATGTCTCTTCCCATTAGTAAGCTGCAGAACAATGTGCAAGAGTGGCTGGGGGAAAAAATCATTGTGTGAAACATAAAAAATAATTTTTATTGCAATTTTGTGAGAGGGCATGGGCTATGTTTGAGGAAGTGCACCACAAATGCAGTTAGCAAGAAAACACATGACGTCCGACTCTTAAGTTATAATCCATTGGTTTTATTACCAATTTGATAAATTTTCAGACAATGACACTAATGGAATATACATGTTGCATTTGGCAGTGCTCTACAATGAATCAAAGCCAACCCACTATTACTATGCTTAACAAAGTTTGCTCTTGGCAAAAACTCCAATGTGACTGATATTAGAGTTGACTTCCTGCAACACAAAACAGTAACTAGTGGTTGTTTAATCAAATAATGTGTTTCTAGATGGATAATATTGAATATCAGATTTATATTTTTACTAAAAACCTTGTAACATAAGAATTACCTGTTGGTCCTTTCTTACCCCAGCCTGGTCCCATCTTACCCCAATGGGGTAAGATGGGACCAGCTCACTTTTTTTAAGCTGTACAGAAAACTGTGTTAGATGCAAAACTTCTGAGTTGTAGCTTAGAAGCCCATTGCATAACTACACCTTGTGATAGGTTTAGAGTTTTTTAGTTATTCATGGTATAGATGCTACAGGCTTGTTAGTGATTTCGGTCCTGTCTTACCCCATCTGACTATAGTTAATTTATATTAAGCAAACACAAACTTGTGAGCAAACTAATCCTAATTGAAATAACGTACATGGAGCTGAGTCGAGCAAGTCCATGTAGTGCTGATGTGAGGAGCTGGCCGTGGATGAGGGCGGCTGCGTGGATGGCATGAGGTAGTCATCCTCGTCAACGGGCAGGTCGAGGCGGACGTTGCCGACCCACCCGTAACCTGGAGGGCGGCTGTTGGCGTCCGAGTCGCCGGAAGGGCTGTTCTCGAAGCAATCATCGTCGCCCATTTCTGCATCTGAGGGCGATAGAAATAACATGAGATGTAAATTGAAGTGATTCATTATCTAGTCTTCTCGACGAATACCCAGCTTTATTTGATATTAATAAACATCAACTCTGATGAAAAGTAATAATACTGCAATAAAAGGTTCAGTATACCCTGAATCAAGAGTTTTTAACATTTTCGAGTAATTTTGGGTCAATGTGTCAAAATTACCATGTGAGACAATATAATCGGAGAAAAATGCGTCACTTTAAGCTTCTTCCAATCTGAAGTACGGTATCACTAACATGCTACAAAAAATTACACTCTACATGACCCAGGCTGGAGAAAACTAGGAAATAACTGAGACCGTGGCATTAGAAACAAGTTCCTCAGGAATAAGGTTCAAAATTTCGTACTCTGAGGTGAGGATAATTCCATTTCTTTACACCAATCAGACATAGGATTTAAATCTACTAGAGGACCCAGAAGCTGATAATTAGAAAAATAAAAATCTACTAGAAGACCAATAAGCTAATAAATTTGCTCACTTTCAACCTACAAAAGAGAAACTATTGATTAGGCAATAAATGTTTCTGCACAATTCAAGATCTGCAAAACTGCATTAAGAATATGCCAAGAACACAAGTTCAGTTATAGATTACGGTACTTTCAAAGTCAAAAATGGAAGTGAACTTGAAACTTCCTTCTTAGCTTCCAATATAAGAACGACTACAAATACCAAAGCCCGTGGCGGTCAACATGTACGTAGAGTCATAATTAAATAAATGGGGCTTTACAAATCTCATAATGGGTAAGATAAATTGGGAACGGGTTTGATTCTGACAATTTTCTGGTGGAACAAATGCTGCTAATGAAGAAAAAATCTCGAAACTAAATAATTTGAGCCCAGCGAATGAAGATTTTGGGTCAGTTGATTTTAATACACAGGAAGGGGAAGTGCCGATCGAAGTTGATGGTTAGAAAATGAAAACTAAGAAACCTGATATGTGATATATGTGATGATCAAAAAATAAATGATTTCAAATGAGGAGTGAAAAAATAATAATAAAAAAAAAAGAAACAACTGTTCATCTGTGAAATCAGAATGAGGCCATTTCGCGTTTGAACGATGATCCTAACCGGTTTGTTACACACATAAAAAATTTATGTGTGCAACAAAATAATTTCATTTATTATTTAAAAAAAAATCAGCATTTCAGTTACCAAGATACCGCATCTACTACACACACACTGTACAAGGTAGGTTCATGCAGTAAACAACTCTACTTGCCACGGTACGTAGCCAAGATACGCAAAATGTTGTACAGTCAACATGGTCGCCAACTATGTTAAGTTCTAACGCTCCATTAATGACACAAACCTTCAAAAAGCACTTGCAATGGATCAACGCAATAGCGGACCGTAACTGAATCTTCTCGGGCTCTAAGATCAGGCCCTGTCGTCGCAGCTCTCAAATTGAAGTACTTCAGTTCTATTTGTCTGTTTTGCCTATTTTGAGGCGACTCAGAAGCGGCTATGCTTCCCTCACCTTCCCCGTACATGTAGTGGGGCAACGTACCATAAAGCGTGGGATGTTTTTTCACGGGTGTAATGGGTTCCGAAGAAGTCGAGGACGACGTGTTTGGAACCGCAATTCCGTACTTTGGTTGCAGGTACTCTTCGGCTGCCATCAGAATTCCGTCACCCCCAATAGCGGAAGACAGTGACCGGAAAAAATCTCGCTCGTCTTGAGTGGTGTAAGACGGAAGACGCATCAGCTTGTCGCCAGGGATTACCAAAAATCTACCTGGATCGCGGGCCATCTTGGCAAAATCCTCAGTGAGTTCCTTGAACGTTGGTCTTTCCTCGGCTTCCAGAGTCCAGCATCGAATCATGATAACATAAACATCGATGGTGCAGATCGCGGGCTGAGGAAGCCGCTCGCCCTTCTCAAGCATTTCGGGAACTTCGCGGGCATGAACATCGTCGTACGGACGACCGCCGTACGTCAAAATCTCCCAAACAGTCACTCCTGAAAAAAATGGTCAAATATATATAATCTTTAGTATATACTTCACCAGAAAATGTTAATAAATATGTCAAGTTGAATGGAAATAAATAATATTAGCATATCCATGGAAATGTCACTCATGTTCAAAAATACAATTAAACTTCTAAAATTAGACTGCTTACCTATATTCTCAATCATGGAAACTAAAAAATATCTCAATAAAATCGAATTCTGAAACTTTAATAGCAACTGACGGGAAAGCGAGGTCACAAGGCATTATGCCCACTCACCAAAAGCCCAGACGTCAGATTTGTGAGTGAAAATTCGGTGTTGAATGCATTCGAGAGCCAACCACTTGATGGGCATCTTGCCGCCGGCCGCCTTGTACTCTTCTTCGTTGCCGTCGAGGAGCTTGGCGAGGCCAAAGTCTGTTATTTTAACGAGATTTGGTGTCTGCACGAGCACGTTGCGGGCGGCAAGGTCGCGGTGAACGAGTCTGCGCTCCTCCAAGTAGTTCATTCCACGAGCAATTTGCGTGCACCAGTTCAGCAGAGGCTTGGAACCGATCTGTAATATTGAATCTTTGTTACAACAGCTCTATTATGAGCACAGTGATCCAAAAAGCCATTTCTTGCAAAACGGGCATGATGCTTGGAAAAAGTGAGGAATTTTACACATGATATTCAATTGCGCTAATAATACAAAATGGGATTACTTTATAGGACTAAGAACATAAAAGCAATTATATTAACCGATTACTACTATTAAAGAGATCTTCGAGAATGGCATTGACGTCATGAGTAAAATAACACGAGATGTGCCTTCTTGATTTCTTCCTGATCTTCTGAGAACAAATCGTAGACATGAGCAAACTGATATTATCTTGTCCCTGTTGTTCCTGACGTGGTTGAATAGGGAAGCTTATAAATGAGAGATAACGTTATTTAGTCCCTGTTGTTCCTGACTGGAATACGGCAGCTTATACATATGAGGTAGTACTACGTACCTTGTCCCTGTTGATTCTGACGTAGTCGAGTAAGGCTCCCAAGGGCATGAGCTGCGTAACCATCATGATCTTCGTGGTCATGCAGACGGCTAAGAGCTGCAGCAGGTTTGGGTGGTCGACGCTTGCCATGATGTAAGCTTCTTCCAAAATCTCGCGACTCACGTTCGTGTCGGTGCCTGGCGATATAAAATGGTATGACAATCACATACATGCTACAGATGATACTTGAGAAACCATTGTTAGAACCTTAATTTTTTAAACAACCTAGAGTACAGCATTTATTATATACGATCTCAATATATAAGTTGATTGAAGTTCATTGTTTTGTCGATTTTGAAGCTAAGATCGAAGATAAAGTTACAACATTCATCACAATACCAGTATGACGTCAACCAGTGACTCACATCAATGTAAAACAACGCTCACCTTCCCTAAGGACCTTGATGGCAACAGGAATTTTTACATTTTCACCATCGGGAACCCACACCCCCTTGAAGACGGTGCCGAAAGCTCCGTAGCCCAGTACACTGCCTTTCCGAAGCTCCGCTTCTTTTACGATACGTAGCTTAGCTAAATTAGGCTTAATGTTGGTTGGCTTGAGTGGCTCATTGTCATCAAATGGCATCATACTGATCGTCATTTTCATGGCAGCTTCCTTGGTCTTGCTGCGCTTCCACCAAATGTAGCAGAAGACTGAGACGAACAAGCAGAACAAGAATACGCAGCCTATGACACCGCCGACAACTGCTGGAAGACTTTCTTCATCTCTGATGGACAAACATATACAATTATGATTCTTCAGTTTCACCTTAGTTCCGATTGCAATCAGTAAACACATAAAGTGCTGAATTAAACACATAAGTGAAGTAAACACATAAAGTGCCGTTATCCGAGTTCCTGACTTTTGCAAGACATACAATGAGAAAAATTGACGTAAAAATAAGCAAAATGAAAGAAAAAATACTAGAAATATGTAAAACATTGGGCAGTTAAAAAAATTCTAGAAATATGTAAAACGGGAGCAGTTACGACTGTTATCAATTTCACGGGCAAGACTGGAGAGCTTACAAAAAATAAGGCACAGGGTCGGTGCCGCAGTAAGGATCGGATGCGTCTTCGGGGAATATTTTGTACGGCAGCTCAGCGGGGCAGTTGGCAGAGCAGTTGAAGCGCGTGAGGTTGGTGCCGGGGGGCGGCTGCAAGTAAATGCGGTAGTTGCGACACGCGTTGCAGTCCGACACTGTCGGGCCGCGGCAGCCCGAGGAACATTCCGACGAACACTGAGGAAAAACATAATTAGTTACGCAATGGGACAAATAATGATTGTTAACGTAGAGATGATCAATGAACTATACAATGAACGCAATGGGACAAAGAATGATTGTAAACGTACAGAGGATCAATGAACAATATTTACGATAAGGACAAAATATCCTGACAAGGGAATTATGCAAAGGAGTGGAAACTTAAGAGCAGGTTTTCAAGAACAACATTTAGACAGGAATTGTTTAAGGATACTCACCTTGAAACATTCGTGGTGTTCTTCATCGGCGTAGTGATCATCGGGACACCTTTCCTCGCACTGTTCGCCGCGCTTGTAGTGAAGGCATTCGTGACACACGCTCGTATGGAAGCCGTATGCGGAGCAGTTCTTGCAGCGCGGGTGACACTTTCGGCAGATGGTTTTGCCAGCCATGCGCTGGAGGTCTCCTGTTTCTTGATGAACGACCCATTCAGAGAAGTAACCATCAGGACATGATTCTTGGTCCTTTAAGCACTTCTCTACCTCTAGTTCATCATTGATGATGACTTTTTCGCATGAAATACAGCCTCGAGGACCGATGTTGTTTTCAGGACCTCGGCAACCTTTGACGCAGTTCTGGTGGCACGGTTTACATTGCCCTCCTTCATTAAATTTGGTATCCGGGCAACGTGCGTAGCAGAATGGACCATCTTTAACGTTCCTACACGACTTACAGTGGCTTGAGGAAGGACCAGTGCAGCCACCTAAGCATTCGTCATGACACAAACTGCAGACGCCAGGCTCCTTTTCGTACATGCCCGGCTCGTTGCAGTTATTCACACATTTATCTTGCAGCTTAAAATTCCTGCAACTCAAACATTCTTCTGGGCCTGCTCCCCAACAACCATCATCACTGCACTCTTCATTACACACAAGTCCTAGTTGTTTACATTCATTGTAGTCACGATTGTTTTCTAGAAGAAGAGCTTCAGTATCCTGTTGCTTCACCAGTTTTTTCCAAGTCATGTTAGCCGCGAAACACAAATCCTTATTTTCTAAGATGTATACTTTTCCTGCTCTTATTCGTTTCAAAGAACGCAAATTCAAGCTCTGCAAGGAAGTCTTTACGATATACAGAGCTGAAAAATACTCAGTCAAGTCTCGGCCTCCGATAGTTTCTAAGTTTCGCAAGAAAGACAGGTTTGTAAACTCTGGATGGGAGGCTTGGATGTTGATGAACCCGGTGACTTCAGTGAGTGTGCTGAACACTTCTAGTTCCCGAGGGTGCATCTCGGGGAGCTTCTCTCCAAACGTGAAGTCATCGTGCACTTGTTGGAATCCATCGAACGAATGGTCAAGGATTGTGAGCGAGCCTTCAAGAATAGTGCATCCTGCGAAGTCATGGATGTTTCCAGCATGTACGTCGTCTGTGGCGACGCAGGTCTTTGGACATGGGCCGTTACAGGGCACGCACTCTCCATTCACTGCCCGAAACTTAGGTGGGCACGATCGGACACACGCGCCGTTATCTTTAAGTAGGTGCTCTGGGCAGTCCTTGACGCACGTGGCTCCATAAGCGTATTTGCCATTAGGGTTGGTTTCCCAGGAATAGGTGATAGTGTTGTAGCGCTGCATGGCCGGACATTCTTGCTTGCATTCACCATCGTCGTAGAAATTGCGGCAAGCCTGTAAGTACAACCGATGCTACATAAGTGACTTGGCAGACAGAATCACAAGGATTCAAATTGAAAGGAAAACGATTTTGTAAGAATTACCTATTAAGATATGCAAACGTATTTCGAAAACATACAATTCAACTAAAGCAAAAGCAGGCAACTTTGAATTCATGGCCAAACCCAAAAAATTTTGATGATGGCGACTGATCCACAAAAATTAATATCATCATTACTGTCAGCTCAACCTCTTAAACAGTGCAAGGATAGAGCACATTTAATAAATAGTGATATTTATATATACATATTTATAATCTAGACAATGCAAAATAAAGCATCATGCAAATGCCTGAAACTATTTTGTTCACTCTGCCGCAATGTTTTCTGCTTGGCCCATAAATGTCACTAGCATTTAGTCATGCGCTGCGCAGAGAAATGAATGGAAGGCAGATTATATCAAATCTCAAATACTCAATTCCTTTGGAGAAAGCTACAGGTTTTTCATGAGCGTTTAAAACAGAAATAAACCAGGCGAATTTGCGATAAGAATGATAGCAACTTCATATAAAGGGGCAGATGCTGCCAAAATGCCTCCTCGCGCTCGTATAGACACCGATGGGCATTGGAGCGCCATGCAAGAGCCTGTACAACTAGAGCCTTAAAAGCAAATATGGCAAGAGGGCTCTCTCTCCTGAGCCCATTCGACGAAGTTGCTAAGGAACATTACGCCCAGCCAGACTTAGTGGCCCAGACTGCAACAGATCAGAACGCTCAAGAAGCGCGCTCCAGAACAAAGGCGTTAACTCCGCTCGTAAGCAACGAAAAACAGACGAGAACTTACAGTTTATGAGTAATCGTAACGTGGTAGGTAGATCAGAAAAAATAAATAAGTAGTAATGAATTATGAGGACAAGCGCTTTGAGAGGTAATAATAAATTGAGAGAACAAAATGTTCTCACGTTAAAAGAATAAAATACGTTGTACGTGTAAAGATAAGGATTTCAGTTATTCTTCTTCAGACTGGCACTTAAGTCTGAGGTATTGGAGGTCAAGAAAACGAAATTAGATTATCAGAGACATTGTAGTGACTTGGGAGACTATTGAAGGATTACATGGTCATTAAAAAGCCCAAATGCACAGGAAAAACAATGGACAAAGTCCACGCTATTGAACTGTCAACGATGACGGCCAAAGGGAAGTGAGAGCGAATAATAGAATTATAGTGGCAACCAAAAGACAAGGAAGGAGTGCAAGTTATATATAGGAAGATTAGATTAAGTGAGAAATAATGAGTGATGTGAACTGAGTAGGAGCAGTTCTGCATCACCCAAGAGCGAGACCAGCAGCAATGAGGCAGTCGACTGTGAAGGTCAGCTACCCACATAGCAGCAACTATTGAGTTCTTCCAGCCTCCCCCTCCTTCACTACACCACTCCTCCTCCTCCTCCCCCTCCCCGCACTCGGACTGGTTCGACTTCCCTGCTCCACCCAAACAACTTTTTTCCTCCCCTATTCCCCCCACGGTCGAACCAACCGTCACGTTGATCGTCAAACAATTTTTTAAGACAATTAGTAGGATTATTGCAGAGGCAGGGCAGCGCACTTGTTCGGTTGAAAAGAGAAGAGGTTTCTGTACTAACCATCGTGCTGATTATCGAGTTAACCGGGAAACAGCGCACATTCCAAGCAGATTTTCATGGCTGGTCTATCATTTTACATGCAATACGATTACTCACATGATGATTAATTTTAATGGTTTAAGCATTCTAATGTCTGTTAGTCACGCAACTACAATTAAAATTTGTGGAGTTTCACTTCACCAAGCAAGCGCGGGTTGGGCAGTAGTTTGCACAAGGCAATCTCAACCATCATCATTGGGAAAATTAATTACAAAATCCGGAAGAAAACGTCTGTCGACATAAACCATCTTCAAGAAAGTTCCCTACTAAGACAAAAAGTTATCTTTCAGTTTTCTAGAGTAGTCCGTAAGTTGAGCTCAATACACTAGCAGGGCTAGGTTTTGCAGACAAGATTCTGCTTCGTTTTGCCGTCCGAGAGGAGCGATTAAAAATAATGTGTGGACAACAAATTTAGAGAAGAAACAATAGAATCATCTAACGCATGTCAACACATTTTATGTTAAAGAAAACTGCAGGCTTCGAAGTGGCGAATAAAAGTTCTAGAATGCAGTTGCAATAAAATTGATCCAAATTTCATTAGCACCGATCACGTTTTTATAATTCCATCTTCAAGCGCATCTATTCGCCAATACTTTGGCGAATTTTAAGAAATTTTAGAGATAACTAAAATTAGTAATAACCTAGAAATTTCTAAAACTATTCTGCACTAAACTAAAACAGTTATCATTATAGGTATGGGCGAAATAATCAACGGTTAGGAAAGAATTGCATCACGTGAGAACAGTGCACCAACAAAACCAAGAGAGAATAGAGCAGATAATCTGCTTGAAAATATCAAATAACATGGCAAGCAAATTATATTCACAATGTGAAATACCAAAGCCATGTGGAATGTGAAGACCAATGACTCACCAAGCATTCGCTTTGAGTAGGTCCCGTGCAGCCGCCGGCGCAAAATAAATGACAACAGTCACGCGGTCCATCGTCGTAGCATCTGCCGGCATGACACTGCGGTGAACACGTCAACTTGCTGAACTTTTGACAGTTTTCAGGTCCTTCGCCCCAGCAGCCTTTCAAACAGGAGTCATGACACGAGCAAGATCGCTCGGGCTCCGTGAAGTTGTAAACAAAGACATGTTCTGCACGCGCGTCGCTCATTATTTCCTTCCACTCTATCGTCGTGATGTGGCACAAGTTGTAGTTGTTGAACAGACCAACGGTGCCTTCCAAAATATCTGAGGGGGGGGGGGGATTTGGTCACTGCAAGGGTTAATTAACTAAATGATAGCAGGCTTGGTCTAGAATTGGCGTACAGATGATTTGCAAGGGAAACTGTCATGATTTTTTTTTTAATATGAACTAATCTACAAGGATAAAATCACGAGCAACAATTTTTGAGGCATTTGAAAGCTGCGATAGCTCACAACGCCGTAATAGCCACGATGAGCAATTTTTTTGCAATCCGCCAAGAATAGTGGAAAGTTTCTAACGTTCATTTAACCCTCAAAGAGTCAGATTATCAATTATACTATAACTAGTAAAGAGCAAGCCCTAAATTTCACCTCTGAGAGCTGGCATTTCGAGAGTGTGCATTTTGGAGAGGGTAACAAGAAGAGCAAAGTTTTCATCATGAACTGCGAGTTTGAAGAGCGTGCGTCCCCTGATGATCTGAAGTGACGGAAGAGCGATCCTCTTCACGTCCACGTGCGAGATGAGCACATAGCCGGTTACCTGTCAAGAGGAATAATAAAAATTTTGTTTTCGAAGGTTATTAAGAGATAGAAAAATTATAAAATGAATCGTTATCAATTCAGGGTAATCTGTGCTGTTAGATCAAGACAGTCTATAGTCTCGCTCCCTCAGATTACACAAAGCAACAAATAAAAACAATATGGGCGTAACCCAAAAATTGGTTTAAAGGGACAGGTATTTGGAAATCTCAATATGATCAGCTTAAATGACAAATGTAGTGTAATAAATATGATATGATTAGGCTGAAAATGTGGTCTCAATGCCATATATTGCCTTTAGATTTGTAGCCCCAATGATTATCACTTCCATATACCTATAACTGAACCTGAACTTCAAAGCTGATATTTTATCGAAGATGCAAACCTCTCTGATGTACTGCAGGAAGGAGAGGTCGAGGTTCTCGTCTTGTAGCCAAGTAAGTTCGAGGTTGCCGTCGACGTAGGTGCAGTTGAGGTAGCGGTCCCTGAGGTTCCTGTAGTGATGCTCCCGGTTAGAGGGCACCGACATACGCCCGTTCGTCCCGATGCAAACTGCGCAAATAAAATCATAAACATCAAACACGGTTTCTACATTCACAATTATACTTTAGGTATAATTGTGAATTATTAGGAAAACAATTTAAAATGAGCGGTAGCAGCGTGGAAATAATCCAGTATACTAGTAAAGTGTTTATCTTTCGAATCTTTGGAAGGTTTTTGAAATCCATAACTGCAGTCGCAGTTCAACTTTAAGGCAAAAATGTATCGACATACTCGTAGGAAGAAAGTCAAGATTCGTAATATCAAGAGTCCTTGGGTAAAAAACATGATAAGATGAAACAATGAAGCAAATGCAGGAACAGTTGCTCATTGTCATAGTTAAATTCTGTGAGCCATGTTGCGATAAATAATATAATAGGTACTCACTTCTCCCATCGAAGACCGTGGCGTTGGTCACTTCAAGGTAAGAGAACAGAAGTAAAAGGAAGATGAGAAAGCGATCCCGAGTGGGGACAGGCTTAAGGTGATGGAACGTTTTAGAGTGAAACAGAAGCATGACTGGCGCTCAATTCCGTTCTGCCAACTCATCTGTTAACAAAGTGTGGTTCCAGGAGTGAGTCCAGAAGAGGCTCTTGAATCGTGAGGAGGCTGAACGCCAAGATGAAGGAGACTGGCATCCTATTGCGCCATGCACTGCGAGCCTTCAGGTCTCTTCAAACTTCCCGAGCCTCCACAAACTCTTTCTTCACAATGCGCGCTCGCATAAGAAATGCCAGAGTACGCACACAAGTTCTTCCTAATAACAAATCCGGCCTCAAGCTTGAGAATATACACACAATTCCTCTTTCTATTCACAATCTGCCAATCGGAATCAATTGTCAGGAACTTCAGAGTTAGTGAGATATAATTTTCGGACTTTAGATGCTGCACCAGCCTTCATTCAAATTAACTATCGATGATCTGTGTTTCCTTACATACGTTCAAATTAAACCACGGAATTTTATGGTGAGTTAACTAACCTAAGTTGTGCGAGAAAATAGAAGTCACACTTACAAATATTAAGCTGAAAAGCAATGAGAATCAGAAATAATGAGAAATTCACGATGAAAAGTCAAAGAAATTAATAATATATTCGTAATTCAGCTTGAACTCCCGGCACCATCTTTTAAAACATTTGGACCCATTCTTTCAAGCTCTAACATACAGGTATATGTGCCGGCAATTACCCTATCAGGAAAATAATAATAAGCTAGGAAAATTAAAACGATAAGTTAGAAAAAAAGACTGGAAAAATGTAAATGAATATTTCCCCCAAAAAAACTATTTAGACGAATTTTTGCGACAAAATTGTATATTACAAAAATATCGGAACAGAACATTTCGATTCACATGCTTGGTTTAAAAAAATCCAATGGAACAGAACATTTCGATTCAAATGCTTGGTTTAAAAAATCCAATGTAATAGAAAACTATCCAATACCGGTAGTATGTATGGCGAAGCCATTCTTGACTGCAAAGTTACAGTAGGAACTGAAGTCCGAGAGAAGCTAGACATGTAGCGCCATCACGCGCAGTTCGTTGGTCGGTCGCACGCATGCAGCGTCGGATTGGACTATCATTTCAAGCGACGTTTAACATTCACAACGCGGAGCTCGCTACGTCAAATAAAGAATCATTATAACATTGTACCAGCACCGAATTAGAGAAACATGAAGATTATGAGATGAGATATGAAGACTGCTGGGTTTTGACAGTAGAGGTTTCAATGGACGAAGTTTCTCTAAGACGATATTAAAAACCTCATAACTAAAGAGCTGGAGGTAAGAGAGGTGCTTAGCGCTGCGCATCAGCGTTAGAAGTCGGCGACACATAGCGCCGAATGAGCGAATCAGCGAGTCCCGGCGGTCCGTAGTTTGAGCAAGCATGCCACAGCGAGTGACGGCCAGAATCATTCGTTCTAATCAAAGGCCTTTGCTAGTAGGCAAGTTTGACGCTGGGAATTGCCAGAGATAAAGTGAGAAACACCTTGGCTTAGCGACTGCATTAGGCGCTGCGCATTCATTATCAAGTGCACTGAACTTAGGGAGGCCGTCAAGTTAACTCAATGCATCTCTTGCCTGTGAATAAAATCGCTATTTGCTAGAAGGATTAAACATCATAAGTAAAATTTATTGGAAGCTCAGTACTGACATCTCACAAAAAAGTTTTAAATTTAAAAACATAAAGCCAACTGCCATATACACTCTGACATTAGTTGAGTGCAAAAGAGTGCTAAAAATAGATTAAGTCGCATTGTTTGCATTCAATTAAAGCTTGTCCACTGGTGCGAAACCTTGCCTCCGAAAAAGTTTTTAATCTCAGCATAGAAAAGGTAAAGAAAAGAGGCAACTATGGGAACATCAACGAGCAATGAATGGTGATCCCGGTTGGATATTCTCCAGCGCTAAAATCTACCCTTACAATAATTTGACGATCATAAATAACGATATGCACAAGTAACACGAATTGCTCACGTTAATCACGCGAACATCAGATAACCCATTTTTAGTAAATTTAACAGACCTGAATATGCACGATACTGGAATTGATACTGGAGGCTGCAAAGCTGAAGGAACATTTCAATACGGATTGCCGGTTTAAGTGCAAAAGGCAAAGGGTTTTCCTCCTTAAAATGTTGTGCTAAAAGACAAATGTTAACCAAAAACCAAAATTGTTCTGGGAGAAGCAAAAAAAAAAAAATCAGTTGATGGCAATCCTCAGACCAGACAAATAAAATCATCAGGGCATTCGATTGGTTAGCATGCAGGTGTGATCTTTAATAACGGAGCTGATTAAGGTACATGCAATAGTGTTGAATAAAGTACACTATAATACCTACTGATGGTTATAAAATATGGTATAATATTGATTGACGCACAATATAATGACTACCGAACAGTCACAGTCTCATCAAATTCTAAAACAACGCAGATGACACAATTTAGTGACCAGATAAATAGATAAATTGTCTGGTCTGGCCGCATCAGGCCATTTGTGGAAGCAGCAGACGATCGGCGGGCAAGACATGATTGCTGATCAGAAAGCTCAGAATTAAGACGTCAACGAAGGCGCCGCAGGCTCACTGTGCCAAGCCAAGTTTGCCGTGTAGAAAACTAATGAAATATTTTTCGATTAATTTGAAGTTTGTATTTTTATCATTGGAATTCAATTTAACATGTATTTGCGAAGATTTATACAGAAATTCCAATAATAATAATTTGAGAATGCCCGTCACACAAGTCACCAGGAAAAGCGACATTAATCGATTGCTTCATAGTTATATACCAGAAATTAGTTTTTAAAGATATCACTAAATAGTTCCACTATAAAATAAATGTAGTTCTTATTGGCGGAGGAGACTTCCAGAGGAATAACAAAAAGTTAATGAAATCTCAGCTGCCGTTTTCAACGACGAAAAGAACATGGAAGCCGTTCAAATATTTCGCAAAGTAAAAATGCACATATAAATGGATTGAAAACAAACTTATGTGTAATTGAGCATTGGCTTTACCACAACTATTATAGCCCCTAATCGACGCCTAAATTTACAGGAGCAGAGATCAGAGCGCAAGTGTGTGTGGGTACGAGGCAATGAGCATCAAGAAGCCATAATGATGGCATGGCATAACGGAGCGTCTTACGTGCCTCACGCGGCTGCCGTTAAATACGAGTGATGGAAATGCAGGGACGATCTCTTCATTGTAACAGCGCCAGGTTATTGGGGCGAACAACGGAGGGCGAGACGCAACTGTGCCGCGAGCAAGCTTTATTTAAGGAAACGTAGTGTTTTATAACAAAAAAGAAAAAGAAGTTATTTCCGATGTGAGCCATAAAAATAATCCGGAAGTTGTGTCAAGCGAAGAAATTTCTGCAATTCATAAATTCTTTCTCGGATTAATGGTTGACGTAGGCTCCATGTATCAGAAAATAATTGCTACAACATTTGAATAGTTTTAACCAATCTTTCATTAAAATAATCATGCAATTATACACGTTGATTGATAAAATTACTAATTTATGATCAATTTTTACAAAATAATTGAAATCACCTAGAATAGACGACAAACGTTGCACTCAATCTTTGAACACCAAAGCCCAACTGTGGTGCAAAGAGAAACTACATCTTCATGGGTCGATAAGCAAACGAGCAAAACCCTTAGCAGGTATGATACGGAGAATAAACTTCCGGCGACTGGGAGCTGGAGGAAGAAAGATTGGAATCTGTGTCATGTAGGGTAGAGGTAATTGACTACGAGATCTGCATCTCGTATACGAGACGGCGGTACGTGACATACCGCTTGAAGCTAGTCTAGTACAAGAGACTGCGAGACCCACTTTTCTTGAAGAATTTGCAAAGCTGGAATATTATCCGAGTGTGAGGATGATTAACTGCAAACAATTAAGTAAGTAACTCATGACTCTCGTACAACAGCACTCGAGACGTGCATCCTGTGCTTAGGACCAAGAGACGAGCGAAGTAAGGAGAGGCGTCGAAACGTGTGCCGTTCAAGAAACTCGAACCTATTGGACTTGGACCTCGCTACAGCAAGTAGAACTACAAGAACTACAAGTCTAGCAAGAACTATAAGAACTACAAGTATAGGAAGAACTACAAGAACTACAAGTCTAGCAAAAACTACAAGAACTACAAGTCTAGCCACAAGAACTACGTACAAGTCTAGCCACAAGAACTACAAGTCTAGCAACAAGAACTATAAGTCTAGCCACAAGAACTACGTACAAGTCTAGCCACAAGAACTACAAGTCTAGCCACAAGAACTACAAGTCTGGCCACAAGAACTACAAGTCTGGCCACAAGAACTATAAGTCTAGCCACAAGAACTATAAGTCTGGCTACAAGAACTACAAGTTTAGCCACAAGAACTACCTACAAGTCTAGCCACAAGAACAACAAGTCTAGTCACAAGAACTACAAGTATAGCCACAAGAACTACAAGTTTAGCCACAAGAACTACGTACAAGTCTAGCCACAAGAACTAAAAGTCTAGCTACAAGAAGTACAAGTCTAACTAGAAGAACTACAAGTCTGGCTACAAGAATTACAAGTTTAGCCACAAGAACTACAAGTTTAGCCACAAGAACTATAAGTCTAGCCACAAGAACTATAAGTCAAGCAAGAAGAAGCAGCGCAGAGAAAAATTCCAACCAGTGAACGGGATCACGATCGATACAAGCCAAAAAACTAAGTGGGTTGGAGACGTTCGGTGTCTCAGGAAGTGAGTGAGCCGAAACGATGGAAAGCTTGCGAAGATCCAAGGAAGGGACGGAAGCGTCGCGGTGAGCAGCAATCGTTAAAAATCGATTGCTGCTCACGAAGATTGTGTCAAGCTAACGAGTGAGCTGTTGTGTGCAGTACTGCAGACGGGAGCATGGGTTAATACCTACAAGCAATAGGCTAAGTTAATTTCAAACTGCCTGATGAAGAAATCGTAGATAAAACTGGGCTATATTTTGCGAGTGTACGCTGTTCATTAGTTGAATCTGAGTAAATTCATTTTCTTTGATACAAAACACATTTAAAAGTCATGTTAAAGAAAACAAATTGAAAAAAAAACTATTTTGAAAATCTTTACATTCATTTTTATTTTACTTGCTTGAAAAAAAATAATGTGAATACATAATATGACGAATCAGAGTGATAAAATAAACCTTAAAATTCAGTCATAGAGAAATAGGAGATATTAAAAGTTACCTACACTAAGTTCCATCCTAACTCATAACAACAATATACTTAGGCAAGAATTTGCTTAGAAAAGATTGTTCATGCTTACAAGTTTATCTTGAAGTGACAAAAGTATAATTCAAGAATAAATCACAAGTAAAAGATAGGCCACATTTATTCAAGTTGAAATAAGTTCCACAAAAGACTAACCCGAATTCATAATATTTACTGAAATAAGCGATCATAAATAAAACAAAAGTTCAATCAAACAATGCCTGATACAACAGACCATGATAATGTGGACGAGGACTTCTCATGCCAGAACGAAGCACAAAGTTTCGT